CATCGCTGCGTAGGCGGGTGACGAATACGTACGCTGCTGTCGTCGTCGCCGCCACCGCCGCCTTCCGTGTCATCGCCCACACAGCTCAGTTAGTGAGTCACCGGTAGGTACGACGGCAGCTCGCGTCCATTACCACATCTTCTGCAGACACATACGCCGAAATCAGGCATGACAACACATTGTCAGCCTTGTGATTGGTCGGCCGCCCGCTGGTGTCGTGTAACACCCTGCTGTCACTCGTTTCCGGGCGGGTAGAAACGGTTGCATACGAAACGACATAATGTCTTGCCTTCTCTTACGCATTACCTCGAATGAGTATGTGTGAGCGTGCGCGCCTCTAGGTGGATTTCCGTTTTTTAACCTGGACAACGACGGGGACCACATGGTCTCATTGTATACGTTTGGCGGATTGTGCGGAGTCTGTCCGAACTCTGAATTGCTATCGCACGGTAGAGGGTTGACAGAGCTTTACAAAGAGAAGACTCTTTGCTTGCCGGAATTTCGGCTTTATTCGTCCGAGCTTTCGAACTGTTACTGGGATCAATTGTAACAGATAAAACTGCAACAAATAAAAAAACGAGCATTAGTTATGGGGGGAAGAGGCTAGACTGATTTGTCAACATGGCAACGACATACAGAGACCTGCACAGTCGCCTCCGGAGTGGCTTCACCCGCGTTTGATTATCCCCTGCCTCCTATAACTGTAGCTTGTTTTTTGTTGCCGCTGCTATCTCTGAAGTGCTGCAATTGTTGGAAAGCTCAGACAAGTAAAACCATAAATCTTTACTTATACTCTCTCACTCGGGAGAACCTTTCGTGACTGACCTAAACCGACACCCAATCTTGTCTCCGGTCGATGCACAGACTCAGTAGACCGTCTAGTGCGTAAAGCAGGAGAAAGAGATAATGGGGTCCATCCTGGTGTAAACACCCTTATGAAAACTCAACGCAATAATAATTTTGACGCGCTCGGACCAGTTGAAACGAGCCAGAAATCGTGGCTTGGAAGGTTATAAACTGAAAACAGCGCACTCTCATGGTTGTGAGTTTGGATGCAGCTGATACTTTTCAGTATATTCAGTCTAGCAACTGTCTTCGATGCCCAGAATAAAGTGGCAAGCGAGGATGTAAGAGTCGGGCCGTATGCGACTAGTGTAGACATTTATTATTGTGCTTTGTCAGCCACCACGGCCACATCCATCTCCATCTCCTTGAACTTATTTTGTCACCAGAACGTTGGTAGGTGTGGAAAGAGTGGACTGAAGGGTTAAGCCAGCGGAAGTCGGCTTGACTAAAAACAAATTTCCGCGCAGTAGGCGTTCACTGAAGCCATTCAGCCACCTTAACGCAGTCCGAGTTCCACATTTTCCTATCCACCCACCTACACGCCGCGTTGCCTCGCTGAAGAAAAATAGGCAACAGTAGGTTATGTAGTCCTCTTCATTAGTCCCTACTCCCAGAATTTTGTCCTACGAAAACGGTGGTTATAGGGTTTTATGGGTGAGGAATTAGGATACGCAGTGGAATATACTTTAATAACTGCTATATGCACCTTGACTTGGTTTATATCTGTAGATTTTCCTAATCTGTATTATCGTTTAACGTATTGCGGAAAAAACCGATTAGCAAATTGCAGGTTTCTTGAAATTCCCGAAAAATATAATGGTGATTAGGAGTTCGTCTACCTCAACTTACCTGGGGTCCAAATTACCGCTCTAGAGTTAGATTAGTATAGTTCGCGGCGCGAAACGCCGCGCACACCTTCAATTTACATGCGGAACAACCTAGTCCCAGCGTTCGCGGGAACAAATTTAACTACATTTTTCACTTTGCACTTCTAAAAATATCCTTCTCTGCCTATCCTATTTCCCCACCCCTCAAAACCCTATAACCATCATTTCCGTAGGACAAATTGCTGGGACTAGGAGTATATGAGGGGGACTACATAAGCTACTTTTGCCGAAAAATATACATCCTAATGACAGCATCTCTCTGTTCCCTGAGCTTGGGACCACGTGGTAATCCTTCCCTCCTGTTTGGCCAGTCCAGACATGCTCTCAACCCCCCTTGCCTCAGTAACCTTGCAGTTACTGTTTTCTTTGGATATTTTTCCACATTTTGCTGCTGACGATGAATAATCGAAAACACACTTTGCTGTCTCTTGTTTCCTTTAGTAATAACCTAGGCATTATCTTAGAACCCAGACATTACGCATATGGTGCCGCGGTGTAGTGTCCGAACGAAAAAAATAGAGCCCTGCCCCCTTTGTTTACTATCCTGTGGCAAAGTGCGAAGACGTGTTAAACTGTGGCTGACAGTTGAGCCCATACAGAAAGCTTGCTTTTTTGGAGCGTTTACGTCATCGGAAATACAAAGAACAGTTACTGGGCAGTTTCAGCAGACGGTTCTCTGCCGAAATTAAGGGCGAATAGACCATTTAAGGTAGGAACGTACCATTAGAAGCTGATCACCCGGCTTCAGTTTCCCATCTAGAAGAGCTGAACCCCCAGGGAGAATCTTCTTGATGAAGACAGGGTAGTTGTTTTTACGTTGGTGTTGCTCCCGGCTCGTCAAACTGAAGCCAAGTCCCGATGACCCTAAAAAATAATAGGTTAAGTTAGGCAAAAAGCAATATGGACATCCCTGAAAACACAGGAACCTTTCACTGGAATGCTTGCGACGATGGTCTTAAGCGGACAAATATCATTCAATGTATTTCGGTCCAAACAGTGTCTGTTTAAAGTGCGATCGGGTGCGACAGTAAGTAGATTCCATATAGTTATAGAAGCATGCGAAAACACTAGACTAGGCCACACAATTTAAAGCTTACCTTAATAAGTTCAAAGGAGAGCATAATTATTAACGAAAAAATTAAGCTCACAGAAGCACTAACCCAAAAAGAGAAGGGCACGTTAGAACAACCTATACCGTGCGCGAATTCCAATCCAAACAGAATTTGAGAACTGCCCAAGAATGTGCCATCTGCTAAACTCTAATATTCACTTTGCAAGAGTTAATTACTGAAAGTAGGATTTGCCAGTATCGACCGTAGCAATAGCGTGATTATCAAAATTTCCGTAACAGATTACTTCGGTGTTGTACGAAATTACCTTCCTGAAAAAGTTCATATAGGGAAAAGTTTGCAGTCAACTTAAACAGAAAAAAAAAACAAATTAAAAAACGGAAAAAACCCTTATTACAGTCTGACACGACTGGACAACTGGGAGGTAACCTTGCATCTGTGAATGCTTCATTTTGGTTTGTGTGGTGAGTACCTCCCCGAAACAAAACGCAGGTGACTGATAATATTTCATCTGTCAAGCTCCTCAGGTACTGACCCGACACAGACGAAGGCCACAGTGGGCTAATAAAAGGCATGTCGTAAGTGCGTGGTGCACACAGATGAAGCCGTAATTACGTCACCTGGAGGACAGTTTTCTAGCAAAGGTGTTTCCGTAACAAGAAAGCGATGCCATCGACCGCCACGAATGCACTTTAAGGTGCCCCCTGTGTATTTTCATCATAGACACTGATCTCGAAATGTCACCGACTCCGTCGACCAAGGTACGCGCACGATGTTGAGGGCGTTTCTTGCGCGATCTTGGCAACTGATAGTCCGACAGTCGCAAGCCACGACGTCCACCACGTGCCCCACCGAAAGGGCACAACATCGCTGATGTGTCTAACTCCTGCCTCAGGTAAGTGACTGGTTCAGTCAGTGTATGAGTGCCAGGAAATGGGACGAGGGAGTGGCGTCGGCACTGAGAATTGCGTCCCTACGGCAGCTTAGCGCAGATTTCTCACTATCAACTATGTAAGTCGTTTCCAAACAAGCAGGATGCACTAAAATCCGTGGCCCTACGGGTTACCAACTGAGGCAGTAACTCGACTCTCCTCTTAGGACAGAGAATTAGGATGGAATGGCCCCCCTTCTTAGGGTGGCGACTAGGACAGCC